TTTCAATTACTCAGATATGGTAAACACGAGGAAATTAAATCTTCATCAGAGTACAAAACAAATTCTGGCCACAAAATAGAGCGAAACACCAACATCAAAGACCTGGGGGTGATCATGTCGGAGGATCTCACCTTCAAGGAGCATAACATTGTATCAATCGCATCTGCTAGAAAAATGACAGGATGGATAATGAGAACCTTCAAAACTAGGGATGCCAAGCCCATGATGACACTCTTCAGGTCACTTGTTCTATCTAGGCTGGAATATTGCTGCACACTAACAGCACCTTTCAAGGCAGGTGAAATTGCTGACCTAGAAAATGTACAGAGAACCTTCACGGCGCGCATAACGGAGATAAAACACCTCAATTACTGGGAGCGCTTGAGGTTCCTAAACCTGTATTCCCTGGAACGCAGGCGGGAGAGATACATGATTATATACACCTGGAAAATCCTAGAGGGACTAGTACCGAACTTGCACACGAAAATCACTACGAAAGCAAAAGATTTGGCAGACGATGCAACATCCCCCAATGAAAAGCAGGGGTGTCACTAGCACGTTAAGAGACCATACAATAAGTGTCAGGGGCCCGAGACTGTTCAACTGCCTCCCAGCATACATAAGGGGGATTACCAACAGACCCCTGGCAGTCTTCAAGCTGGCACTGGACAAGCACCTAAAGTCGGTTCCTGACCAGCCGGGCTGTGGCTCGTACGTTGGTTTGCGTGCAGCCAGCAGCAATAGCCTGGTTGATCAGGCTCTGATCCACCAGGAGGCCTGGTCACAGACCGGGCCGCGGGGGCGTTGACCCCCGGAGCTCTCTCCAGGTAAACTCCAGACCTTTTAAATATGAAAAATATTACTAACGAAGCCCTGTCCTCAACAGGGAATTTGATAAGTTTCTTGAAACTGCTCTTGGTCAATTAGACTATGGTTCCTCTGTTAACCTGCGCGCAGCAAGCACCAACAGTATGACTGACCAATTTTCAGCCAAGAAACTTGGTCAAGGATCGGGTTGTGTGGGGCAATGATCCCCAGAACACATAATACATTTTCTTATCTTCAGCTGCGATGGTGTGTAGAGGTCACCGTAAAAAGTTTGATTTTACTGGAGAATATCGTGACGAGACCACAGTCTTGACTGCAACTTTATCAGACAAATGTGAATAATGTCAATATTAGAAGGAAAAACTATTTTGAATTCCATTGAAGATACACAGATCACCCGCATATGGGAGACTGAAACTTATTAACTAATTAATTGTCCAAATTGGACCAAAACGTCGTCAGAATTTCCATTCTCCTCTGTGAGGGTGATTTGTGTATTCCAATCACGGTACTGTGCCTTTTTATTCTCCGTTAAAGATGTGTGTAAAGCGCAGCCTTTTACTCTCCTTAATTAGTAATATCATCGTTGTACGACTTGGGAAAGAATCTCAGGAGATTTCAACACTTTTGTCCACTATAGTAAATTTTTGCTGTCTGCTGGATTCTTAGTAAATTAGCCTGGAACGTGTCAGCATTCATTGTGATTAGCATTTTTTTGTTCCCTGTAATCACTGACGCCTGTAGAGAGCGTACCTACGAGAGTATTAACGATGTTTTTTTTCGAGTAATTAGCTGTTAGACAAGACTTTAATCCTAATTTTAATTATAAAGATTAAGATATTCTATATTCATTAGATCATATATTGCTGAAACTAACAGGACTTATCCACTAGACAAGAATTACTTAGTATCTAATCGACGATGACCACTTAACATACAAATTTTGAAGCTAGACAGAGGTGCATATAGATCGTTCTGAGCGTTATCATTGCAACTGTTCGTCATAACAGTTTGAGGTGGGACTAAACGCTTGTAATTTGCTAGAATGTTAGTTTTCTACTGGATAAATTTCAGTGCGTCGCCTAAGTGGCTCCTCGATTGTCTCTTATAAGCAGGGTACATACTTTCCCAGGTAAGGCAATTAAGTACATTGTACTGAGCTTTCATTCTGAGCGTGTTTAGGTGTTGCGTGGGCAGGCATCAGTCAGTACTCACAACCATTAGAAGCACCAAGAAAAGTTCACACACTTGTCGTGCGCACTCATGTGCATGAGTCTTACTTTCAGTGATTCAAGTGAATTATTTTATTATTATTAAAGATTCGCCGGTATTCTCCCGGCCCGGGCTTTTTCCAAGTGGTGGCCCGGCTTTGGCTCCCTCTTTAGGGAGTGTCTGAGACCGAAGTCTCCAATGGGAGGAAGCACAAGGACCTCCTCATCTTTGGGACCAACTGTCCCCAGGCCTAGCCACAAGTTAGGCCTCTCTGGTCTGCCATCCCCTCCCCAAGGGGGCTAATGGGAATGACAGTCTTGTGAGCTGCAAGCTCCGGCTCAGGCACCTACCCTACCCTAGAAGGGTTAGGCATGGTGTCGATGATGATTCAAGTGATTTTTTTTTTTTTTTTTTTTTTTTCGCCGGTATTCTCCCGGCCCGGGTCTTTTCCAAGTAGTGGTGACCCGGCCTTGGCTCCCTATCTGGGGAGTGTCTCGAGACGTAAGTCTCCCATGGGAGGAGGTACAAGTACCTCCTCATCTTTGGGACCAAGTGTCCCCAGGCCTAGCCACATTCCCCGCCCTCACGGGGCTCGTAGGGAGAAGCTAGGCCTCTGGTCTGCCATCTACCCCGCCTCAAAGGGGCTCGTGGGGATGGCAGTCTCATGAGCTGCAGATGGTAGCAAGCTCAGGCCTCATTCAAGTGAAGAAGCACGCTGAAGGTGAAGCAGATTTTAAAATTGAAGACGTGGAACATGATATGACTATGGTGAAGGAATTGAGTGGCTGAATATTTATACTCTATCTCTCTCATTCTCTCTTCTTCTTCATAATTTAACATTATCAGCTAATTTTTATATTCTGTCAATATTTCTATTATAATGTACTTGAAAATATTAGCAAAAAAAAATTATTTACGTGGGGAAATATTTACAGTTTATATTATGCTTGGGTTGTACATTAGATAAGGTATATTTGCACAAACCTGCACACCCTGCACACCCTGCACACCCTGCACACCCTGCACACCCTGCACACCCTGCACACCCTGCACACCCTGCACACCCCGACTTCCAAAGTGTCCAGGTACCCCGACTTCCAAAGTGTCCAGGTACGCAGTACCATATCCAGTCAGCCGGATCACACACAAAACTGGGTGTCCAAATAAAATGTCTGTAAACTATGCTTTCCTTTCGCGGATTGATAAGCATTCTGAACATGTCTTGTGGACCGGTGTACTGCTAGGGAGGAATTGGTAAAATAAGTCTCCTTACTTTGTCCTCAGGATTTTTTTTTTTTTTTTTTTTGGGGGGGGGGGGGTTATCCTAGGTAATTTACACAAATGTTACTATACATGATAATTTGTGTAACTGTATTTACGTGTACCTGTGCTTAAATAAACTTATTTAAATATCTTACATCCTAGGTCTAGGGCTCCCGGGTATAAAGCCGCTTAGAATTTCCATCAACAAGTTATCAGCGTTGAAAGATGTAGCCAGTCGTATGACGTACTCGGAAATTATCTCTTAAAAACCAAAGGCACTTACGGGATTATCAGCCTAGACACCTAAGAGATTTAAATTTTGCTAAAACAATGGCGGACTATAATGTTCCAGGTTCAGCGGTCGCTGGCTTAACCTGTGCCGGACTCAGTGTCAGCAGCGGTCGCTGGCTTAACCTCTGCCGGACTCAGTGGTCTGAAGGAGTTGAAAAGTATAGGATATGAAATTATAAGAGGAAAGGAAGGGGAGAGGGATTTTGGGAGGTAAGTAATGAAGGAGAGGGGGAAGAATGAACAGGAAATAGGAACTGGATAGGGAAAAGGTAACAGTAAGGAAGAAAGGAGTAGGGGCATAGAGATGAAGTAATGGACGAGAAGGAAGGAAGGAAGAGTGGATAAGTACTGAAAAACAAGTGAATTTTGGAAAGGGAGGGCGAGTAAAGGAGCTAGGGAGTGGATAGGGGTAAAAGAGGGCGTGGATCGGGGAAGGAAATGATGAATAGGGAGAAAGGAATTGAGGGTAGGGAGGTTGGCGGAAGCAAATGAGGGTTGGGACGAGAGGGTGGGTAGTAATGAGGGAGTGTACGGTGAGGAAGGAGGGGAGAGACAATAATAATGGTGGGGGTGTAAAGAGTGAAGCGTATCAGGAGGCTGGGTGGGTGGGTCACTCCGACTTTCACTAAGGGAAGGCAGTATATTCATTACATCCACTCCGCCTGTCTACTCTCACTTTCTCTCTGCGATATTGCTATCACCTTTTGTGACTTTGTCATCTTTTCTCTCCTAAACGTGAAAAATAATCGTGATGATTTAGGGACAGTAAGGGCTTAGATTTCCAATGGAGTTTCTGGTAAATTTGGTGACAGGAGGCTGATGACTCATATTATCAGCCTAGTTCATCGAAGATCAAAAGGCAAGTCATACTCACTCGCTAAACAACCCACCTCAAGTAAGACTATTGTCGGTGTAGCTGCTTACGCAGGTTACGCAGACAAAATACCACATATTGAATTTAATGACAGAATTAGCATGATTTCTTACATTCATAAAACGTGAATTAAAGTAAATTCTCACTGACAGACTCACACGTCTTTATTTATATACATTCAGATACACATACAACTGTTCAGACAAAAACAGAGGCCCGTATAACAATATAACAAAAAAGGGATACTGAAAAGTTTCACAAATAATAATGGTGAAGTAGAAGTTGACAGCTAGAGACCGTCAGCACTGTCTAAAACCATCCTTGACAGGAATGAAAACGGCAGCTGAAAGTTCTTCGAGGCGGCTCGCTCAGTCAACACACCCATACACACTCAGAAGGTATCCACAGGGCAACGAGCGATGTATGCCTGACACAGAGAAATGAACCTGGGGAAAGAGGGGAAGGGAAAGTAAGTGGGGGGGGGCAGGGGAGGAAAAGAGAAATTTCCTATGTGAGAGAGTCGCTGAGTGAAGGGATCCCGTCACATGTATTCTGGTGGTGCAGTGAGCAACACACACACACACAAAGTCCTGTGCTACAACCACTGTTGCTGCACCTACAGTCTCCTGCAACAACTACAGCGAATTCACAAAAATACATAGCAACTCGGTGGGAAACTGTAGCACTGTCATCACCCTCCATACTGAAAACCTGTCGAATGAGGCATTGATATTACAGTCGCACATTGGGTTACCTGTCGCATGGTCGTTGCTCTGCATCGTACCCGCTCGTCGCGTCTCGTCCTGGCTACACGCTACAGCATTCTTGGTGATTATCTGACTTTACTGTTGGTGAAGCAGTTGCTATATTTGACTTTTTCGGTGTAATGCTTTTATAGTGTGATGCTGGTATAGTGAGATGCTGTTATAATGTGATGTTAGTATAGTGATGCTGGTATAGTATGATGCTGGTATAGTGTGCTACTGGTATAGTGTGATGCTGGTATAGTGTGGTGCTGGTATAGCGTGATGCTGGTATAGTGTGACGCTGGTATAGGGCGATGCTGGTATAGTGTGATGCTGGTATAGTGATGCTGGTATACGATCCAGATTACTGAAGTTGTAAGTAATCATTTTAAGCTCGTGACTACAGTCATGTTTATGCTAAATGAGGCAAGAGAAAAAAAACCATATCTTGAGGGTTCTGATAATTCATCGTCAGCCTTAATGAAACCTAGTTTAGGTCAAAGCTCTCACTCTTTTGTACACATAATTCGATCAGTGGAGTGTGTGTGTGTGTGTGTGTGTGTACTCAACAAATTGTGGTTACAGGGGTCGAGACTCAGCTCCTGGCCCCGCCTCTTCACTGAGTGCTACTAGGTCCTCTCTCTCCCTGCTCCATGAGCTTTATCATACCTCATCTTAAATCTATGTATGTGTGAGTGTGTGTGTGTGTGTGTGTGTGCGTGCGCGCGCGCGCGCTTCTGCTGACTTAGTAATGGTGCTGGGTCAATCGCACAATGTTTTATTTTCACGAACTGTAATTTCACGATAGCGTGACATGTTAATTTGTGCATGTTAGTTTGCTCTTAGGAAAAAACCTGACGTCACTAGTTCAGTGGTGCCGGCACTCTGACGGGGGCAGGGCAAGTGGGTGTGCATGAGGACACAGGAAGAGGCTGGGTAGTCGCTGGCTCTGTGGTGGGTCATGGCAACCACTACCGCTGGCTCTGTGATGGGTCATGGCAACCACAACCACTGGCTCTATGATGGGTCATGGTAACCACGACCGCTGGCTCTATGATGGGTCATGGCAACCACAACCACTGGCTCTATGATGGGTCATGGCAACCACGACCGCTGGCTTTGTGATGGGTCATGGGAACCACGACCGCTGGCTCTGTGATGGGTCATGGCAACCACAACCACTGGCTCTATGATGGGTCATGGTAACCACGACCGCTGGCTCTATGATGGGCCATGGCAACCACAACCACTGGCTCTATGATGGGTCATGACAACCACGACCGCTGGCTCTGTGATGGGTCATGGCAACCACAACCACTGGCTCTGTGATGGGTCATGGCAACCACAACCACTGGCTCTATGATGGGTCATGGTAACCACGACTGCTGGCTCTATGATGGGTCATGGCAACCACGACCGCTGGCTCTGTGATGGGTCATGGCAACCACGACTGCTGGCTCTGTGATGGGTCATGGGAACCACAACCACTGGCTCTGTGATGGGTCATGGGAACCACAATCACTGGCTCTGTGATGGGACATGGTAACCACGACCGCTAGCTCTATGATGGGCCATGGCAACCACAACCACTGGCTCTGTGATGGGTCATGGCAACCACAACCACTGGCTTTGTGATGGGTCATGGTAACCACGACCGCTGGCTCTATGATGGGTCATGGCAACCACGACCGCTGGCTCTGTGATGGGTCATGGGAACCACAACCACTGGATCTGTGATGGGTCATGGCAACCACAACCACTGGCTCTGTGATGGGTCATGGGAACTACAATCACTGGCTCTATGATGATACATGGTAACCACGACCGCTAGCTCTATGATGGATCATGGCAACCACGACCGCTGGCTCTGTGATGGGTCATGGGAACCACAACCACTGGCTCTGTGATGGGTCATGGTAACCACAACCACTGGCTCTGTGATGAGTCATGGGAACCACAACCGTGAGCTGACTGGTGTTGGACTCAGTGGTTTGTCACTCTTGCGAGCCATGAAAGCACACCAGTGCTGGACTGTGTTCTCAGTGCTGAGCAATAATTATTCACGCCACCTTACACACTTTGGTTATAGATGTAACCTTAATTTTTTAAGGGGTGGACCGGTAAGCCAGCGGAAGGTCTCGGTCAGATGATAAAAAGTTCCAGTGGCGGGTCATCATGTGACTAAGACCCGCGTCAGGAAACACTTGTCCTGTTTCCTGATGAATCTTACCTAACCTAACCTATTCATGTCACAGTTTTAATTCTGGTTACCTGTCAACATCTAATCTTCAGAAACTGTTCCTTATCTTAGCTTAGAGGTGCCACACCCTGACTCTCACCATCTCACCGCATATATTTATTCATCCTAAATAACACCATCTCAACAATCCTCCTTGCCTCACTATATACTCTCAATACGTCTCGTTCGTCTTACATTCCTTGATGATAAAGCACTAACATACATATGCACTCGGATTTATTGCCACGATGTTTATTTTCATTAGACACATCTTCATATCCCTTCCTACAACTGTGCCCCAAAATGCAGCTGCCAAAACATGAAGTTGAGTAAGTTTCTTCTTCTTGGAGATAGCGACATTAATTGAAAACAAATAATGAGCATAAATATGTTGATGATTCACCATCATCGACTTAATAATGCGTTCCACTTCATAGAAAATATTTTCCAGCACAGCTGTAGAGATGGATGGAACAGCATCCAGTACAGCTGTAGAGGTGGTTGGAACAGCATCCAGCACCGCTGTAGAGATGGATGGAACAGCATCCAGCACAGCTGTAGAGATGGATGGAACAGCATCCAGCACAGTTGTAGAGATGGATGAAGCAGCTTCACAAGTGTTTCATTTCCTCACTTTAAAGATGTTAAGTTGAACTAACGAACCAGCCATTTCAGAAGAGTCCAATGTTCCCTACCTCCCCTCACAGGCCTACCCAGACTCGAACCTGGATGCCTCCCTATCCTCAGGTTCTATATGACCCATGACTCTTCCCTCTGATTAAAATAATGGGGCTGTTGTGTAGCAATTAACCTTCTGTCACATCTCCTGCCTCCTTGTATGGAGTCTTCCTCCACTACTTTTCCTTAAGTCAAACCACCTGCAGACATCTGTGTTGATCTGAAATGGAGTGAATACCAATAAGTTGTAGTACAAATAACAGTTTTGCCCATGAAAAAGGGGGAGTAATAAGCCAGTGATTAGTGAAAACCCACTGTGTGGGAGAAGAGCTGTCTTTTTAAAAAAGTAACCACGTTATCTAAGTGTCATTCTCCGTCAGGTGAACACAAATTTGATCTATGAATCTTAGTTGTGGTTTTGCTCCCGCTGTTCTGTCATTGTCTAACTTGTCTCTTCCTCTAATTATCTGTAGGTTATTGCCATATCTCCGCCCCCTTCTCTCTTCTTTTAGTGCTTAATTTCAAGTTTATTCCGTTTATCTTTGTAAATTTTCTTCCTTAGTTCCAGTTCCAGACGTATTGTGAAGGAAGCCTTGAAAATTCCAGATTTTCGTACCGAATATAATTCGGAGTGAGTTGAACGAACACAGGTGTCAGATGTTCTAGGAGTGAGTTGAACACGAGTGTCAAATGTTCTTGAAGTGGGTTGACCATGGGTGTTAAATATTCTAGGAGTGGGTTGAACACATGTTGAGTTCAGTGGGTTGAGCACTTCTTCATTTAGGTTGTTTAAAGCCATTCTTATGGTTGCTAGTTTGTCTTACATCACACATATGTTGAATGTGTTCCCAATTACTCTCTCTCTCTCTCTCTGCCGTGCATTTCTCATCCTTTGTTGTTTCACTTTCACTGCCATGTTAGCTTTCTGACTTTCTCTTGTGTGTGTGGGCATCACACCTTTCACTTCATGTATTTTTTTCATTAGTATATAAGTACACGAATATAAAACACTCACCACATATAAGCGAGTACACACACACACACAAACACACACACACACACACACACACGGGCCAGGAGCTCGGACTCGACCCCCGCAACCTCAACTAGGTGAGTACACATACACACACGTATAAAATTATTTTAAGCTTAACTTACATAAGAACATAAGAACATAAGAACGAAGGAACACTGCAGAAGGCCTACTGGCCCATGTGAGGCAGGTCCAAGTCTCCTACCGGCTTAAGCCAATGCACCCAACCTAGTCAGGTCAGGTCACATTGACTTAAGGGAGGAACACGGCAACCGACCTGGTAGCACAAGCTATCAGGTCCAACTCACACCCACCCACATCTACTCATGTATTTATCCAACCTATTTTTAAAGCTACACAACGTTCTGGCCTCTATAACTGTACTCGGGAGTTTGTTCCACTCATCCACAACTCTATTACCAAACCAGTACTTTCCTATATCCTTCCTGAATCTGAATTTTTCCAACTTAAAACCATTGCTGCGAGTCCTATCTAGGCTAGATATTTTCAGCACACTATTTACATCCCCTTTATTTATTCCTGTCTTCCATTTATACACCTCAATCATATCCCCCCTAATTCTACGTCTTTCTAGAGAGTGCAGATTCAGGGCCCTTAGTCTAGATATCCAGTCCAACATTTTCCTTGTTGTAGCAATAGCAACATTATTGCGATCCATAAATGTGAGATCTGCTGACATCATTATTCCCAAGTCTTACACAGGAAGCTTCCGGTCTATTGAATTATTTGAGTTTGTCCTGTACTCAGTTTCAGTACAGTAATAGCTACCGGAGCCTTAAAATGTGAGTTGCGAAGAAAGATTTAAGCGAAACGCTAAAATTATCATTGTTAGTTGGTCAGAGGAGTGGAGACAACCATGCTTCTGTCGTGGCCGTCATAGATCCAACAAGAATCATATTTATACCTGGGTTAGTACACACGTCAGTGCTATAGAACCACCATCTACCATATTCATATATATATTCACTAAATCACAGTGTGACTTTATAGACGGTCCAAGTCGGACCGAAATGTTGTCGTAAGCTCCTCTATCCGCGTGTCGGTTATTTGTAGTTTTGCAAGCTATTTTATATTTAATACTCAGTCTTTTTTTTTGTCGATCTCCATTCTTTATTTGGTCTGAATTTTCTTTCTTCCATTTCCCTTACATGGCACTTATCAACATTAGTTCCATTATCCCTCCGTTACTCCATTTGCTTAACTGATTAAAATTAGCTTTAATAGATTTGCTGTACTTTTTATTTACGTTGTACCAGTTTTTTCACGTCTCTACAAATAAATTACTAGAGTTCTTCTATTCCTTCTGGGACACTTTTCCTCTTGTCAATGCTCACATTGTCCTCTTAACCATTTTAGTATTTTTTGTCTTTGCGTCTCGTATGTTTTCATGTTTCAGAATTAGATTTTGAGAGGTGACAAAAAAAAAAAACTTCGTAAAATCTACATAGATACAGTGTATGTGTGTGTGGTTTCAAAATGTAAGCGTGGAAAAGCTTTTATGATACCATGTTGAGCATCGTCCTAAATTACTAGAGCGACAAATTACCATCAAGAATAATTGCATTGGTGAACTAGAACGTGGCATTATTAACCTATGAAAGCTTTACATCAACTCTCTAATGACACACACACACACACACACACACACACACGCACACAAGTGTGTGTGTGTGTGTGTGTGTGTGTGTACCTGAGAAAGAATTGTGCTTGAGAAAGAAGCATTTAAGATGGCCCACTGGCCAAGGCCAGGAGGTCCACTTAAATCAAATCTTACCGAAACATACAGCTGCACAAAAGAGAACGAAAGAATTTTTTAATTTTCTTAAATATATGTGGATGTAATACTGATGGCAAGGATATATTATTATTAATGTTATGGAAAAGATTAGCTAGATGTACCACTTGAGGATCCAGCAGGAATGTATAAGCGGGTCAGGTTGCAGTAAGGGGAGGGGTTTGTGTCATTTGTCTTGGTAGTGAGTATGAGCTGAGGTAATTGTAATGGGAAGTACGGTGCATGAACTTTGAAAGTCGGGTGAGGAGGCTTTCATTAGGTGGGTTATCGTTGGGTCGTACGTTATGTCCGCCCCTTCTGAAAAGACATCTGGAGAGTAAGGGAGGGCGAAAACATTTTATTCTGGGTATCATCTTGAAATGCTACTTAAGATATCGTGACCGATATACATTTTGTACGGAAGATGGAGGGGCGGAGACAGCGTCACACACTGATTAACCATCAATGGTATATCAGACTATCATGGCATGACAGATGGTTACCACGTAAGTGAACATCACATTTTCTCACGTACAAAATTTTGTATAAGAATTTTTATGATTTTTTCTATAGTGATTCCTTTCTTTGGGCTAAAACATTTTTCATAGGGGTAGATTCTCGTTTTTTATTTATTTATCTACTTTATTAGCGGCGATCGAAACCTAGCTTTTGGGTCACATCTCGAATAAATGGTGTGGCTAACTCCATGCCCTTTCAGGCAATTTTGCTTCAGTCACAAACATTTTCTTGATTGTGTCTGTTTCCCCTGGTTGTTCATTCACATTTACGAATAACAGTATGGGTATAAAAAGAAAGGGAACCTTGTGGTACCATGTAAATTCTGTTGTCATAAACTAACCTCTCTCACTATGTCTTTCTGTCGTCAGTTTAAGTCATCTCTTATAGTATCACTGTAGTGGCCTTCCAATCGCTCCAGCTTAGTATCCTAGATCGTCCACGGTCTCTTGTGATGGATCCTGCCAAGCGTTTTTTCAACAGTCAGGAAATAGTCAGCCCGTAGGTCATTTTTCTTTTGCCATTTTATAAGAGTATTCAATTAGGTTAGGTCGGATTTCTTCTCTCTAAATCTTTACTTACTTATAACTCTGGTTATGTTTTTGAAGTGCTTCCCTAGCTTCCTATTATATTATATTATCTTCAGTGATTTACTGTAGATCCTGGTTAGTGTGATGAATGGTTTTGAAAACCGACAAGTTGAAGAATTGAGACACTTATGCAACACATGGGAATCTTTATTGAAGAAACGTTTCGCCACACAGTGGCTTCATCAGTCCAGTACAAAGTAGAAATGGGTAAGGAGAGTAGAAGTTTGAGGTAATCAGTCCCTCAACTCTGGAATCGATGTGTTCAGTCCATCACTCTTGTAGGAAGTGCAGCACAGGGCCAGAGAGGTGGCTTATATACAGCGGTGAGATGAGTTTAAGCAGGAGGAGGCGGGATCACAGTGGGACCTGCCACTAGTGTAAGTAGGTCGTCGTCCAAGGTTGGACAAGCGTTGAAGTCTTTGTACCAAGATCCCATGATGTTGCAGTGTCTGACAGATGTGATGAATGGTTTTGAAAACCGACTTCTACTCTCCTTACCCATTTCTACTTTGTACTGGACTGATGAAGCCACTGTGTGGCGAAACGTTTCTTCAATAAAGATTCCCATGTGTTGCATAAGTGTCTTAATTCTTCATCCTGGTTTAGTGCCTGCGTAGTATCTCTGCTGAATCCTTCAGTATCCACGGTGAGATATTATCTGGCCCCATTTCCTTTGATGTGCCCAGTTCATTCAGGTGATTTATTAACCTCATGTTGTTGCAGCTGTGTAGCTTAGAATTGTGTGGCAATTGTACTGCTTGAGGTTTGTTTTAATTAATCGCGTATATCCCTGTTATCATCTATGAATTACCCCCATTTTCTTCTGTGTGTTTACATGTGATCATTAACATTAGTTTTCTCTCGATGTAACCGTGTAGTAATTTGGAATGTACTTTAGTCTTAGATCCTGTCTTATTGTTTTTACGTCTCATGATTTTAAGGCATTCAGTCATGGCCACTCTCTAATGTCCTCGGTTGCCTTCCCTCCTTTTTTTATATACATATTTTCCATGCTTTCTTGTTCTTCGTTCTTTTTTTTTTAAATTCTTGGCTTTCTTTGAATCTCTCTCTCTCTCAAGCACTGAGCAAAATCTTTCAGTGTCTTCTCTACATTTTAAGATAAGGAGTTTTGGGGTCTTTATCACTGTCACTCTGGCTCAATATAAATCCAATTCTGATGTTCCTCTCATTCTTGTTGGACCTTCTGGTAGGTAGACCCTAGCTGAGGGTTGGTAGACCCTAGCTGGGGGTTGGTACACCCTAGCTGAGGGTAGGTAGACCCTTGCTGGGGATAGGCTGACCTTTTTTTCTGTCCAGATGAATGCTAACCTCACTGTACTGGACTCTGCCTCCCGCTATCCTTCATTTGTGTATGTGTACACAGAAAGATGTACTCATCTCGTTCTTCCCTTATGATCCGTTATAGCATAGGGCTAATAATCTCAGGATACACGCGTATCCTGGCCCTGCCGCTTCACTGGCCGCTACTGGGTCACTCTCCCCGCACCATTAGCTTTATCATACCTCTGCTTAAAGCTATGAATGGATCCTGCGTGTGTGTATGTGTGTGTGTGTGTGTGTGTGTGTACTCACATGCGTGAATTTGTATGTATAAAAGTTCTCAGTCAACTCTGTATTTTGATTGTCACGTGAAATGCAGTAAGTCATTGTTTATCATTATCAAGCCTAGAATATGTGACGGTCTTGACTGTTGTTATCTAAGTCAGTGTGTGTTTTGCAGATGGTGTGTCGACGGTGCTGGTGATATGAGACTCCAGGCAATGTGTGTGGTAGTGCTGGTGTGGACGTTGGCGCTTGTGTCTGCTGCCAGTTCTCTTATGATCAAGGAGGAGCCCCAAGGGAACACTGAACTCTACGTGGCTCCTGTCTCCTACAGTCGCAAGGACGGGAAGTCTCTTCCCAGCACCATCATCATCTCCAGACCTCTCGGCATCCAGCCGTATTCCAAGGACAGAAAACATCCTGACATTTTCTCCATAGTCTCCGAAGAGGAGGACTCAGGTGAAGACGGTCTCCACCTCAAACCAAACATCAAGTTCTATAAGATTGAATGCAAGAGTGGGAGGTCGTGCACCTCCATCATCCCAGCCAGATCCATTACATTCGACAAGCCTACAGCTAAGCCTTTCACAGACGAAGATATTAAAAAATATCTCAAGCAGTTTAGTCTTCGCGATGGGTTTCCTTACGATGATGATTATGAATCAAGTGGCACTCCCAAAGAGCCGAAGGAAAGCCAGGAAATGAGACACATCGGGGAGACTGATGACTCTGAACACCACACCCAGAGGGCATTCAGCTCTCCTCATTTCAATAGACCTGGCTTCTGGCCGAGGCCTTCGAAGGGTCAAGTGTTCAAGTATGAACAATATGATCCTGACGAATTAAATAGTCCCCCAGGGGTGCACATCCCGGTGAGAAATCCCTCCATTAATTGGGACAAAATTTCGGAAACATTTCCAAAGAGGAGCCCAACGACGGAGTGGCAAAGAGTGCGACCATTTCGTCCTGGCCCTCAGCACTCCACATCTAGTTATTTTTCCAGACCTCATCAGTCCTCTCGCCCGTATCTGAACTATCACAGTAACGATGATAGAATCCATTTTCCCTACGATCATCCCCGGCCCTCCTCAGTGACAACGGCTCGAGCTGCACCGTATGACGGTGTGTGGAAGCGCTACAGCATGTCGACAGTGTCCCAGCACGACAAGGACACTGGAGAATGGGTCAAAATTTCGATGAGCAACACCGAACTCGACCAAGGGGTGTTCAAGAAGCACCCTGATGCCCTGAGAGAGTCTACTCATCATGCCAAGGCCAGCCTGACGGTACTTGGGCTGAGTGAACAATTACCTCCGTCCAGTTTCAGCGGCCGCCTCCCACAGGGCACCCACTTGATGGAGGTGCCCAATACCCTACCCGGCAGGCCTCCTGCACTAATCGAGACAGATGGGAGTAAAGTAGCAACGGTGAGTCTGCGGGTAACCAACCCAGGGCAAACAACTTCCTCTTCTCCCGTCTCCTTCACCTCTGTCACGCCCACGGAACTTACCAAAATGAGTGTTCCTTTCTCTCTCATCTCTACTAAATCTCTCAATGAGGAATCCCCCAACAGCACTACTACTACTACTACTACCACCACAACTACTCCTTCTACTTCTACTGCCCCTCCTACCACCTCCACTACCACTCTCAAAGCCACAACAACAACCACAACCACTACAACCATACAACCACCACAACCACCACTGAAACGCCCCAGCGAGAGGAAGAAGAATCTTTTATGGACAATCCTTACGCGGTGATGGCTGCCGTGGGTGCTGGTCTTATTCCTGCCACTTTTGCTGCTCTCTTGCCGGCGTTCGTGGGCAGGCGCCGCAGACGATCATTGCTCACTCCCTCGGGCGTCGTCAGAATACCCCTGGAGCTGGAGGAGCTGGTCGTGAGGGTGCGACGGGCGTTGAAACGCCTCCACGGACACAGATGACTAGACAAACAACACCAACTGATGCAGGTTTAGCAGACGGTACCGTCAACACCCCCACTGATGCCACTGTTTTGTCCTGACTCCCACTAACCTGTAGACGGACCATTGATGACGACCCACTGTACGACTCCTTTTGCTCTCCACTGCACGACTCGTTTTAAACTTCACTGCATGACCTGTTGCACGACTCGATTCATGCCCCACTGTACGACCTGCTGCACGATTCGTTTCAAGCCCCGCTGTACGACTCATTTCATGTCCCACTGTACGACCTGTTGCACGACTCGTTTAATGCCCCACTGTACGACCTGTTGCACGACTCGCTTCATGCTTCACTGTACGATCTGTTGCATTTGTTTCATGCCCCACTGTATGACCTGCTGCACGACTCCCTTCATGCTTCACTGTACGACCAATTGCACGACTCATTTCATGCCTCAGTGTACGACCTGCCCATTGAATGAGCCTTAACCCCCCTCCCCCCGGGCTACCCAATCCTGCCGAATTTATCAATTTGCTGAAATATAATACCAATATTACGAAAGAACTGGAGAGCTGAGACAGTCATCCAGTCAGTCTATTAACTGTTTTTTCTACATTCTTAGAGGCTATTATAATGCATAATGTTAATAGAACACAAACCAAGAGAAAGCTCTTTGTAGTAATTAAGAAGATTTCTGCTCATCTGTAGTGACACAAGAGGGTTAGTGTAGTAACTGTTACTTTAGTTATCTTTTTAACAACAAATTATTTTCTTCCTTTACAGAACAACAGACTCAGCTGGATGCCAGGAAGGCTCATCAGGGAGCAATAACAGACTCAGCTGGATGCCAGGAAGGTTCATCAAGGAGCAATAACAGACCCAGCTGGATGCCAGAAAGGTTTATCAGCTGGATGACCCAGCTGGATGCCAGGAAGGTTCATCAAGGAGCAATAACAGACTCAGCTGGATGCCAAGAAGGTTCACCAGGGAGCAATAACAGACCCAGATGGATGCCAGGAAGGTTCACCAGGCAGTAATAATGTATGCTGGCTATACTTCAAGGATACACTTAAGTATAATGGCTATACCACAAGAACTTGATAACTGTGTTACAAGAACTATGTAATGACTATTCGAGTATTACGAGAACGACGTATGACCACACGAAAAGAATGACAATCAGCTGGTTGGTTAATGGGGGGTTAAAGCCTGTTGACTGCACGAGGGTCATTAAGACTGCATGGTAACCTTTTCACTACCAAACAATAGTAATTTAATCCCTAAAATAGAAATTAACGTAAACTCTCAGTATACACACTCAGTGACTATTTTATTTGGTACATTTTTTTAGTACTGGGCAGGGTCCCCCAGAACAGCCTGAATTCTTCGTGGTATAGATTCACCAAAGTGCTGGAAACATTCCTTAGAGATCCTGGTCTATATTGATAGCATCACGTACTTGTTGCGGATTTATCGGCTGCACTTTCATGCTGCAAATCTCTCGTTCCACCATATCCCAAAGGTTTATGGCAAATTCTGACCCTACCATCCACATGTCGCAGCAGAAATCGCGATTTGTCCGACCAGGTATGGTTTTTCCAATTTTCAGCTGTCCAGTTTTGGTGAGCCTGTTGTCCGCTGTAGTCTCATTTTCCTGATTTTAGCTATCAGGAGTGCAACCTGCTGTGGCCAATGCTCTTTAAGGCTCGTTGTGTTGTACTTTCAGAGATGGTCCTCTGCATATTTCTATTGTAAAGCTTAGATGAGTTATTGTTACCTTCCAGTCAGCTTGAACCAGTCTGGCCATTCTTCACTCACCTCTCTCAAGGCTTTTCGCCCACAAAACCGCCTCTCACTGGGGGTTTTGTGTTTTTCACACCATTCTCTGTAAACTCTAGAGATTGTTATGCGTGAAAATCCCAGGAGATGAACACTTTCTGAGATACTCCAACCACCCGTCTGGCACCACGGTCAAAGTCACTTATATCACATTTCTGCCACCTTTCTGATGCTTGGTCTCAGCAATAACTGAACCTCTTAACCATATCGTTAAGCTTCTAGGCAGTTGGTGTTGCCGCGTGATTGCTGTTTAACTATATGCATCCACGAGCAAGTGTACAGATGTACTTAATAAAGCGTCCATGGAGTGTATAAACTGGGAGATATACACCCCTCGGAGTATATATCCTGTGATATATACTCCTCGGAGTATATATCCTGTGATATAAATGATATAAACTACTTAACTATGCTAATTTTATTTCAGTAAGTCTTTAAGTCAGAAGCTACAATAAAAGACTTAAAAGAATTCTAAAATCTTTATTACTTGACTAAGTGCAAATTAAAGTTAGTTTTTTTATTCCTAAAGATTTACAAACCAAAGTAATCTCCGTGTTTGTGGTAGAACATAGATGAATTTTGATAATGGTTTGTTCAAGCTTGATCTCTTCACGCCGTGTGTGTGGCCGGTCAAACTGCAAAACTTTTATCTATATACACACACATTTACCATGTTATATATACCAGAATATTTTTTTATTGCACAAAATAGTTTTTTGTTTAAAAATAGTTCCGTTTCATTGTGATTGTTAGAACTTGTATGAGGAGTGAGCAATAATGTGGACCCAAACTAAATCTAAGGTTGTTGGCATTATTATTATTATTATTATTATTATTATTATTATTATTATTATTATTATTATTATTATTATTATTGCTATTATTATTATTATTATTATTATTATTATTATTATTATTGCTATTATTATTATTATTATTATTATTATTATTATTATTATTATTATTATTATTATTATTATTATTATTATTATTATTACATAAGGAAAGAGCTAAACCCATGTGGGTGATGCAGCTACCACTGTACCTTCTTCATGGAAGCTGGTGCCTTGATCCAGAGAATCGTAACTACCCTACCTTTCTTGGGAGTGAATCAGGTTGCTTCCCATTCGTCCTGTGCTCTGCATAACCCCTACCAGTGTGGCGCTTCCAACTTAAATACACTGATAACAATAATATTACCACTGTACCATTTTTTACAGAGGTTAAAGACTCAATTAATAATTCATTAGAAGACGTGTATGAGAGTCTTTGATGCTCAGGGTCTGCCTGTTATGTCATCAACACATTGGCTTTAAATGATTTTTTAATACATATTTTTTTAATAAAACCTGAAAACATAAATGAATAAGGAAAATAAAAAGCAGAAAATGGGGAAATGTATTTAAAAGAAACTAATAGATCGCTGTTCACATTACATGTTTTGTTCAGCTGTGACATAAGTTCTATTATAAATATACGTATATGTATATAATATGTATATATATACATATATATTTATATATGTATATGTATATTTGTAAGAAAAATACTGTATTGTTTTCAAGAGACTACTTGCACTCAGATATGTTTACATAACTAAAGATGACACCTTAATTGTACGTCATCTCTGACACACTGGTGTCATGTGAGGTAAAATTATAGATTGATGAGTATGGGAACATCTTTTTAGGATTCCCTTTCATGCTGGTCTTCACATGCATGAAAGAACTGTTGAACTGGCTAAGGAGTATGTCTTCAAAGAGGGAGTAGACTCCAATCTTGGGTTGTCAACTAATAATCTGAAGACACTAAAACGAAAATAATTTAAACTGTACTTGACTGACTTGGGACTGAAGGATACACAAATAACCAGCACATAGAAGAGAGGAGCTTACGACGACGTTTCGGTCCGACTTGGACCATTTACAAAGTTACACTAACAAGAAGGACAGAAGGAGGGTCACACCAATCAGTCCATCTATCATTCCGTCATGAAAGAAGAGCCACATGTGCATGACGCCTCTGACAAAGTCAGCAGACTGATATACGTAATGATATACGATCAGAGAAGTTCCGCCAGCTGAGTACAAATAACTACTATATATGCAAACTTTATCAGAAGCACCTGTCAGACACTGTGTCATTATACACTTGAATGTGAACAAAAATCGTGACTTAAGATACAACTCGCTAACAAATGTACCATAAATGTCAAAATATTTTATTCATAGTGGAATATTACCAACTATTCTGACTTTTCCTATTGTAAATAAATCTTAAAGTTTTTTTTTACTACACTTATGATTGAACAACCCATTACTAATGTCGACATAAATTTGTAAATGGTTCGTTGCCCTTGTAATTTGCTTACCTCTGAAGATGTTGGAGCTCAGTTCTTGGACCCATTATATCCATCTGCAAATATTTGACACCTGCCCACAATATGTGTATGTGGTGCCTAATGAAGCTATCAATTAATCATCCTAACCTGTGGTACATTATAGTGTTAGACACCTCTCACTTAAATACTCTGCTATGTAACCTTTAAAAACAGGATTTTATAAATGTGTGTATGTACTGCTGTGTGTAAATTTCTTAATTCCTGTTCAGGAGAAACGGTTTGGGAAAGTAACCTTTTCTTATATAGCTCTTCTAATAGTCAGGAATCTATGTTCATGATTTTAAAGTCTCAGCTAAAATCACACCTGTTTTCTCGAGCTTACGATCCTGAAGATCACACTGTCACTACCCAACATGACTTCAGCAGTCTTTGTTATTATTATTGTATTTATAGCTTGGTGTGCGAGAGCCTTTGGTTTATTTTAACTAGTAATAAAACCATATATATATATATTATATATATATAATATATATATATATATATATATATATATATATATATATATATATATATATATATATATGTCGTGCCGAATAGGCAGAACTTGCGATCTTGGCTTAAATAGCAACGGTCATCTTGCCATATAGGACAAGTGAAAATTTGTGTATGCAATAATTTCGCCAAAATCATTCTGAACCTAACGAAAAAAATATGTTTCGCTGTGTTTGTTTAGTATTAAATTATTGTAAACAAATGTAAAATATATTTAGTTGGGTTAGGCTAAAATAAATTGTTCTTGTTATAATAAGGTTAGGTAAGTTTTCTAAGATTCTCTTGGAGCAAAATTAAAATTTTTTACATTAACATTAATGAAAAAAATATATCTTTAAACGTATAAGAGAAAATTTTAGAAAGGACTTAATTTTAAATGAGTTCTTGCTAACTGACCAGTTTTACATATTCGGCACGACATATATATATAAAAAATATATATATATATATATAATATATATATATATATATATATATATATATATTATATATATTATATGCGTGCGTGGTGTGTGTGTGTGTGTGTGTGTGTGTGTACTCACCTAGTTGTACTCACCTAGTTGAGGTTGCAGGGGTCGAGTCCGAGCTCCTGGCCCCGCCTCTTCACTGATCGCTACTAGGTCACTCTCCCTGAACCGTGAGCTTTATCATACCTTTGCTTAAAGCTATGTATGGATCCTGCCTCCACTACATCGCTTCCCAAACTATTCCACTTACTGACTACTCTGTGGCTGAAGAAATACTTCCTAACATCCCTGTGATTCATCTGTGTCTTCAATCTCCAACTGTGTCCCCCTTTGTTACTGTGTCCAATCTCTGGAACATCCTGTCTTTGTCCACCTTGTCAATTCCTCTCAGTATTTTGTATGTCGTTATCATGTCCCCCCTATCTCTCCTGTCCTCCAGTGTCGTCAGGTTGATTTACCTTAACCTCTCCTCGCAGGACATACATCTTAGCTCTGGGACTAGTCTTGTTGCAAACCTTTGCACTTTCTCTAGTTTCTTTACGTGCTTGGCTAGTTGTGGGTTCCAAATTGGTGCCGCATACTCCAATATGGGCCTAACGTACACGGTGTACAGGGTCCTGAATGACTCCTTATTAAGATGTCGGAATGCTGTTCTGAGGTTTGCTAGGCGCCCATATGCTGCAGCCGTTATTTGGTTGATGTGCGCTTCAGGAGATGTGCCTGGTGTTATACTCACCCCAAGATCTTTTTCCTTGAGTGAGGTTTGTAGTCTCTGGCCCCCTAGACTGTACTCCGTCTGCGGTCTTCTTTGCCCTTCCCAAATCTTCATGACTTTGCACTTGGTGGGATTGAACTCCAGGAGCCAATTGCTGGACCAGGTCTGCAACCTGTCCAGATCCCTTTGTAGTTCTGCCTGGTCTTCGATCGAGTGAATTCTTCTCATCAACTTCACGTCATCTGCAAACAGGGACACCTCAGAGTCTATTCCTTCCGTCATGTCGTTCACAAATACCAGAAACAGCACTGGTCCTAGGACTGACCCCTGTGGGACCCCGCTGGTCACAGGTGCTCACTCTGACACCTCGCCACGTACCATGACTCGCTGCTGTCTTCCTGACAAGTATTCCCTGATCCATTGTAGTGTACTCACCTATTTGTACTCACCTATTTGTGTTGCAGGGGTCGAGTCCTAGCTCCTGGCCCCGCCTCTTCACCGGTTGCTACTAGACCCTCTCTCTCCCCGCTCCATGAGCTTTATCAAACCTCGTCTTAAAACTGTGTATGGTTCCTGCCTCCACTACGTCATTTTCTAGGCTATTCCACTGCCTTACAACTCTATGACTGAAGAAATACTTCCTACTATCTCTCTGACTCATTTGTGTCTTCAACTTCCAATTGTGGCCTCTTGTTTCTGTGTCCCCTCCCTGGAACAGTGTTGTGTGTGTGTGTGTGTGTGTGTGTGTGTGTGTGGTCTTATTGCATTTGGTTACAACAAGGTCTATATATGAGCGTACATCTTGCATAAACAATATAATGATATTCAACCTCCTAAAACTCTGCTTACAATCCGAAATAAAAATAATTTGTACGTGTTTCTATTAGTAATTGATAATGCCCCATTGTACCTATGCTAACGTGCTGGTTACATGTTGTAATGCTGTCGTATCAGCATTAGTGACTAAAGGGATAAAACCTGAGTGATGTTAGACCCTCGTTAGGGATTTTTAGTGCCTCGTGAGTGATGATAGTGCTTTGTGAGTGATGATAATGCCTCGTGAATGATGATAATGCCTCGTGATTGATGATAATGCCTCGTGAATGATGATAATGCCTCGTGAATGATGATAATGCCTCGTGAATGATAATGCCTCGTGAATGATGATAATGCCTCGTGAATGTTGAAAGCCTCGTAAATGATGATGCCTCGTGAATGATGATAATGCCTCGTGAATGATGATAATGCCTCGTGAATGATGATAATGCCTCGTGAATGATGATAGTGCCTCGAGAGTGATGATGGTGCCTCGGGAGTGATGGTAGTGCCTCGGAAGTGAGTACTACTAGTTGGACTGAAAGATAAATAGGGCACATAGTTGTCTGTCAGAATGTAGTAAACAATGAGAGGTGAAGGATGACAGTTAACCTTATAAACTGAGATAACTATTTTGTTTTACAATAAGATAACTATACCTACAGTAGTATTTAAGAAAACTATACCTTAGTACTGTATTTAAGGTAACTATACCTGTAGTACTGTATTTAAATAATGCCCGAAATTTTTATATGATCAACTATGATAGGTCTAACAACTGTGCAATGCTAGCATATAAAAACTA